TCTCAATGACAGCATCTCATTGCTATAATTAATAAAATTGTGACTATAGTCCCTGAAATGAAATTATGATGACACATAGTCCTCCAGTGTGGCAGTAACTATCTGTGTAGATGAGCTTTGTTCCAATAATCAGGTAAACAAAGAACCACATGTCCAATTAATGGTAAGCATTACTTTCCATAGTGTTACCTGAAAGATCCCCAACCGTCTTTAATATGGTCTGTAAGGTTAAAATATGTATTTTTAATAATAACATAAAATGTTATTTGACTTTTTCACTGTGCTTACATTCACACTGATGGTACAAGGGTAATGGTGTGTAAAGCTGCTAATGCCTCAGTATGAATACAGATGGTTGACACCCAATCACACTAATATGTATAGTATTCTCCACTTCCAGCTGAAACATGCTGATTTCACTTAAGAATGTACTTCAGGCAGTGGCAAAATTATTATTTTTTAAAACTGTAACTTAAAAATATATGGCTTTTTAAATCGTGTGTGATGAAAAGGGAATATGCAAGAAGTACTGCTGCATGCTGAAGTGTGACGGTTGCCTCAAGGAGAAGCACTTAGGTGATTATTTGACGTGTGAGACCAGCTAGCTGCTTCTTTATGTGGAACATAATTTTACTTGAAATAACAACATTCAAACTATGCAACCTGAGGTATTAGGTAAACATTTTCTCCAAAACAAAATGAGTCTGTCACTTCAAAGAAAATAACTAATGGTATTTGTTGTCAATCTTAAAATTTTAGCTTTCGAGCAAATATTAGAATTTTGGGAAAATCTTATGCTCTATTGTGAGTTTGACAGCTTCACAATAGTTAAAAGTTTTCTAATGAGATTGAAGGGGATATTCACAGATAAGATTTTTTATTTATTGATTGATTTTAGAGAAAGAGAGGGAGATAAGATATTTTGATTTTTTTAATACTGATTTTTTATAACTCAAAAATAAGCCCATATTTTGCAAGTTATAGTACAAAATGTGCATGGGTAAAAGATCCATTCAAAACTTATAAAGAACTCACCCAACCCCACTCCAGAAAGACAAACAATCCAACTAAAAAATGGGCAAAGGACCTGAACAGAAGAATCTTCTTCAAGGGGGACATTCGGAGGGCCCAGGGACATATGAACGGATGCTCAGCATCACTAGCCATCAGAGAGATGCAAATTAAAACCACAATGAGCTACCATTTCACACCAGTCAGAATGGCCATCATAAACAAATCAACAAACGAGTGCTGGAAAGGATGTGTAGAAAAGGGAACCCTAGTACACTATTGGCGCTAATGCAGACTGGTGCAGCCACTGTGGAAAAACAGTGTGGAATTTCCTCAAAAAACTAAAAATGGAACTGCCTTTTGAACTGGCAATTCCATTGCTGGGATTATACCCTAAGAATCCTGAAACACCAATTCAAAAGATCCTATGCATCCCAATGTTCATAGCAACATAACTTAAAATAGCCAAGTGCTAGAAACAGTCTAAATGCCCATTGGTAAATGAGTGGATCAAAAAACTGTCGTACATTTACACAATGGAATACCACGCAGCAGAAAGAAAGAAGGAGTTCTGACCCTTCGTGACAGCATGGATGGAACTGGAGAGCATTATGCTAAGGGCAATAAGCGAGGTGGTGAAAGACAAATACCATATAATGTCACCTATAAGTGGAAACTCATCAACAAAACAAACAAGCAAGCAAAATACAACCAGAGACATTGAAATAAAGAACAAACTGACAGTAGCCAGAGGGGAGGTAGGGGGTGGATAACAGGGGGAAGAAGGGGAAGGGTCGTCAAGGAACATGTATAAAGGACCCATGGACAAAGCCAAAGTTAGGAAGGATTGAATGTGGGAGGGGGTGGGTGGGGCAGGCGAGAGTGGGGGAGAAAAATGGGACAGCTGTAGTTGAACAACAATAAAAAAACTAAAACAAAATAAAAAAAACAACAAATGTAAAAAAAGGACAACGGGTTTTAAGAGTGTAAAAATTTCATTGCTCAAGCTTTCAAATTCCACATTACAACTAACATTTAACAATCTATTACTGCCAAGTTTTTGTACAGTATCAAAGAAAAATATTACCAATTATCTTAAAAGGCTACTAAAAAAACCCTATCACGTCCAAATGTGTATGTGTGTGTGTGTGTATCACATATGTGTGTGAAGCCAGATTTCTTCAACTACTTCAGTGGAGCAATTATCGGACAGATTGAGTGCAGAAGCACATATGAGAATCCAGGTGTTTTTACTTAGACAGAGAGTAAGAATATTTGCAAACTATGTAAAACATTGCACTCTTCTCATCATTTTTGTTTGTTAAGTATAGTTATTTTTCATAAAAACACCCTCTTCTATGTTATTTATGTTAACATGCAATGCTTTTATCTTTATTTTATAAGAATTAAATAATAAATATACTTAAAAATATTCAATTTTCTAAGGATAAATGCCACTCAAAACATTTTTAAAAAAGCTCTTAGCAGTAAACAATAATTTTTGAGAGTGCAAAGACAAAAATCCTTGAGAATCACTGTGTGTAGTAAATCTAGAAAGGAGTCTCAATAAAAATCTGTGTGAAGAAATAATCACGCAGTAGAATCACAAGATATTTGTACAACAAATCTTTGAACATCTTCTCTTCCAGGCTTTGGGGAAATGGCAGTGAAAGTCCTGCAGAGTCCATACCGACAAGGAGCACACATTCTATGATGAAGGGAGTCACAGAAGGAACCTATGACCAAATAAAGAAGTACATTGACGCAGTGACATATCTCCTAAAAAATAGAAAACAAATTATGGAAATAAAGAGTGCCTAGGAGATGCGAGCAGGGGAGAACTTTTATTTTGGTTGTTCCAGGGGTGTCTCTCTGAGGAGGGGACAGTACAGTTTGGGTCCAGCTCCTCTTCTGAAGGTGGGGGATGGGCAGAGGAAAAAGAGGTTTTTGCAAAACGGACTGGAAGAAGCAACTCTCTGAAGGGCAAAGATTTCAAGAAAGGCCAGTGCTACCAAGCTCTCAACTAGGAGAAAGCCCAAGTTTATCTTTTTCACAACCATATGAAGTTATTATTGTGATTTCATAGATCAGAAGACTGAAAAACGGGGAACTTCTAAGCCTTGCCACTGTCACACAGTGAGTAATCTTCAGAATTAGGCCTTGAAAACTATATTGTAAATCAATCCTGCATGATACGTCTTTTAGGAGAGGTGGTCCTCAGTGAAATAAAATGGTGGTAGGGGCTGGTGAAAGGAACAGTGTAAATATTCAGAGGAATTTAATGGTCTCCATTTTTCCTAACTCTAATTACAAGCAAACACTTCTTACATGTCTATAGCTCTGTTGGATGTTAGAGGGAAAAATAATACCACTAGAAGCTTTAACTCCTAGCCAGTGCTTAAATAAACAATATTACAAAATACAGGTCAAATGAGTGGCATTTTAAGTAAATAAAATAGGAATATATAGAAGAGCGACCAAGAAAAAACACTGGTTAGAACACTGGCTTGCAGATAGCTGAGATCGCACGATGACTTTTTTTTTATACTTACCCCTACAAACAAAAGTTAAATGTCTCACTTTTATAAAAATAATAATAGAAAAATGTATGTTTATTATATCACTAAAGTTAGAAGATGAATATATAACTTATGAAAGCATTGCATTCATTTTAATAAATTTACTATCTAGTGACTACTTATAATTAATAAAAGTTAACAGATCACAAAAAAGAAGGTAAGGAACCAAGAACCTAAAAGTTCAATAATTGTTATACAATACTTCTAACTACAAATTAACCAAAAATGGAGATAGTTTTTTAAAAATTAGGAATAAATGGTAAAATATAAGGATTTATAGGTGTTTGGTTTATATGAAAATTGCTAGGACCCATCTAGTGTATATAAGATAAGATATTAAGTTTTCAGTTGATTAAAAGCAGAACACACAGGCAAACAAATAAACAAAAAAAGCACCGTGTCTGCCACTGTATGTGTCACAAATATATTTTAAATGTATTAAAGAAAGGTGAATTATTTTACCTTCTAAAATATTTCTTTAATTCTTGAAAATAAACAATTCTCCCCTTCACTGTGACAGAGCAGACTGCATTTTTTTCAAATATGTGAAGTTCTCATAGCCTTCTATGTTTTTTCCCTTAGCACTCTTCATAGTCATATATCCATTTAAATATTTCATCCATTACACTATAAACTCCTTAATAACAGTCACTTTGTGACTGTTTATTCATGTTGAACCAGAGAACACAGTAGTATTTCAGTACTTCTAAAACTTCCGGTAGAATTCATGTATCTCTGCTGTTGACAAACAGGCTTTTATGCTGTCCTGACTCACCATGCCATCCCACCTAACGTGTGTGAATGAGCTCCAATGCACTATAAAGCTCCAAACTTATCCTTTTATCCTTAACTGTCAGGGAGGTGTTCTTTTTTTTTTAACCAATTTATACCAATGCGTTAATTAATGCCTAATACTGTATTGACTGTATTATCTCTTCTCCCCAACATATTCAGAGATTTCTATAGCCAGAGATTATATGAAAGGAATGTGTCGCTAAGATGGCAGTGCAAGCAGATGGACAACTTTTTGAGAGAGATACAGTGGATGAAAGAAACATTTTAGCACCCTGAACAACATAAGTGCACGCATAATTATCAGTGTGCTTATATTTAAACACTGTAATATGTGATGTTTTCTAATCCTGACTTACTGAACTTTTGTTGTTAGATATGATGTTTCCTATACAATACAAAGAAGAAACCCATTATAAGTAAGTTTGCCAACTTAACCGGGATATAGCTTTCAAATTCTATAATCTGCAAGAAAGTAAATTAGAATGTGGAAATGTGAACAAAAACCAAAATGAAAGGAATACAGTCTAGTCCTGATGAGATGATTTCAAGTGGAAATTTTACCTTTTGGTGTAGTTATTTAAATGATTATTTGAAAAATCGTTACTGGTGTTTTACCTGCAATTATCAGTGTGAATTTTTTTTGCTGACTTGGATGGTATGAAAGATCCCCAGTTATTGACTTCTACACCTTTTATGCAGCCAGTAAAATTCTCAACTGGTCCAGAAATATAAGAAAGAGAGAGAGAAAGAGAATTTATATGAGTTTCTTCATGTTGCAAACTGGTCAGAGTGTACCATCAGATTGCAGGGCTGATTTCATTTATTCAACATATTGGTAGACAGTAATTCAACTCTTCTTATAAATCATTTCAAAATTTAAAGGAAAAAATACCACCTTATTTAAATATTGTGTGGACTCTCTAATCTTACTACACGAAATACACTGTAATTTGTGTGTGATTAAAGAAAATGTTTCCATTATTATAATGAATTATCATTGAAAAATGATAGCAGAGAAAAGCTGATACACTTTTCCATCTTTTGTCTTTGTTCCTTGCACTTTTCCTTTCAGATATTAGTACCTTGTTCTGTCCACAGCTATAGAAACATCAAGAAACACTGCTTTTCCTGGAGTCAAAGAAAACTGAGTAAGCTGCAAATACTTGTGACATCCTATGGCCCTGGTGCATCCTACTTATCTTTTGTGTTCAGTTGTGTTGCCTATCCTTTTTAAGAATAACCTAATCAAAACATGGTACCCAGAAAGATTACCAAAGGGCTATGGGCAAAAAGAGAAAATAAGGACATTGGAAAGCATGTGTTTTGAGGAACAAATATAACCCCTTAAAGATAAACATAGATATTGCTTATAGTTCTATTAATTGTGAATATATTATAATGCTCCAGTAATTATATGTCTATATAAATTTATACTTACGTGAAAAAGAAAAACTAAATGGTGGCACATCTGAGAATTGAATAGTAGAAATGAGGATTTATTTCAAGTTGTGTTCTGTTATGCTCTCAATATTATTAAAAATTTCAAGCTAAGATGGACCAACTTATGACCAGGGCAATTACTGAACTTATTTACCAAAAAACAAGCTTTCTACCTTGGTTTCTGAATTCAAAATATTTAGTATTTGAATTTTCAAGACTTGGTTTCTTATTGAGTGTAATACCATAAATAAACAAATAATAGAATTAGACCTTAATCTTGTTTAGAAATTTTAGGGTGAAATAATTTTATCTCATCTTTTAACTTACATTCTTAGTTTAAAAACCTTTAAATATTTTCTTCCTTTTTCCTATGTATGCTCAAATGTACTGCAAACCCTCTCAACAAGTAACACTCTGTCAAGTGTCAAAAATGACTGAACTAGAAAATAAAACAATATTTCACACAGTAAGTTTACAAAGCAGTCAGTCGATTCCAAGAAAAAAAGAAACATTTGGCTCTTACATGCTGCAGAAAGGAAAGTATCGATTTGTAATTTTTAGCTTAAGGTTTTTATGAGTTTCATTAATCTTTTAGTTTTTCACATTTAATTTTTATCAAACATAAACCTAATGTTTAAACTTTAAAATAAAGTTTATATCTACCTCTCCTGAAGCATCACAAACATGTTAATTAGTATAGTTTAAATTTTTAAAAAATCAAACAAAAAATAAAATAGTTTTAGAAAAATGCTTTTGATGGCAACGATTTGTGAGTGTTAGAACTTTGTAACATAGCTCAGCAATGGCATAATGTATGCATGTATTTAAATATACATTTTTCTGTGCTTGTGAAGATCCTTATTATTTATTGATATGAAGAATACAGAAGAAGTTATAGTTTTTAAAATAAATATGAAGTTACCAGAGAGCTATGAAAAATGCTGAAAAATGATTCTATGATTATTACTCTATTGGGATACTTTTTGGAACTCTATGACTCAATCTCATTCATCTACTATGGATTAAAATATACATATTAATTTATTCACTTTGGACTTTGAAAGTGGCAAGAAAAATTTTTCACAGCCTTTAAATTTGAGTAAATTCAAAATTCTTTCTTATGGTTTCATAAACTTACAACCCTCCAGTTCTCTCACACATTAAATTCAGGCAGTCTCATTCTGGATGGGTTATTTGATCTCATGTATGTCTTTTTCACTTTAAATATGGAAATCTTAGTTTGCAAAAGGTTAAGTCAAATGGGTACCCAGAAATACTGAATTTGAATACTAAACTCCAATGACATGGTTTTTAGAAAATTTGTGGTACTGAGAAAAATTTTTCCTTGAATTTGATTAATTTACAGTAATCTGGTTAGGTTTCTTCGACAAGATTCTTAAAAATAAAAGGGAAATATAACATACATAATTGATATAAGTTATAATGTAACAATAAAAAATAGCTTCATTAAAGAAATTATACAAAGTTACCTATAATAGATTATAGGAATGGTACTGTTGTACATTATTTCCTTCCAATAAGAAAAATATTGTACTTAAATATGCTTCTGCAATATCTCAAATCCAGTTCTTATTTTTATTTAGAACAAATAATGAAGTTATGGCTCCCAGTTGTTTTAAACAATATAAGATGGAAAGGCAGTATGCTACTATATAGCAACAAGTATAAGATTCACTGTACAGAGCAGTAATAATAACAGAGTTTTTTTTTCTTTTAAATTTCAAACTTGGGTTGTCTCCAAGTTCTAAATATATCTTCAATACTGTATATTTCATTTTTTCCATCACTATATTAAGAGAAGAATTTTTAATTCTATCTCTGGCTTTTGATGGATGGCCTTTGCTCTTACTTACTCCTTTAAAGAGAGTTGAAGTTGGTGAATTATCCATACTGTATAAAGGCTCTATATTAATATTCAGTAGCAGTTACACAAAAAGTAGAGAGCTTCATGGCAATAGTTTAGATTGCATATACAATATTTAAAATTTATGTAATACAAACATACACTCTGAATTTTTTGAAAATTATGTACCTAAAGATTTGATGTTATATAAAAAGATTATGGAGGGAAGTGTTCATTTTTAATCTTCCTGACAGAGTAGAGACACAATTATTTGAAGAATATATGGGTGACTGCGTAACCTATTAGGAAGTAATTTCAAGGGTTAGTTTCTCATTCTTTTGAATTAGTAGTTTATAAGTTCTTTCTATTTACATTATTATTATTCATTATGTTTTTAATGGTTCACTAGTATTTCTAATTCAACCAGTTTGGTTGAATTCAAGTGACCTTTCAGTTTAGTGAACACTGAAAACCAATAAAGTTTGTTTGGAATCAAGTAAGAAATAGTCAATTGGTATTACAAAAACAATTTTCCTCTATTGTAGGATGTTTTATCAATTATTCCACTTGCTTTTGGAAGTCCTAGATTACACATACTGTAGCAATTTGATAAATTTTTGAGAAATATGAAAAATAAAGATTCTTTAAAGATACCACTAATAGTTGATTAGGTAGTTTTCACACTGTGTGATGGGAGGAACCTGTTTCTCAGAAAACTTCAGGGAACTTTTTGAGCAGGAGGAGAAAGGCTGTGAGTGGAGTTTCTGCTCCCATATGACAAAGGAATCATTTTACTTTTATGTTTTATATATTGGCTTTCTGCATGAAATTTTTAAAATTTATAGATTTTAAAATCTATAAAATAAATATTATATATAAACACATACATGTGTATATATGTTTATGTACATTTAATTTACAAAAAAATCCCTGTTAAACTGCCAAAAGACCTGCCCGCTCTGCTGCTGCTGTGATGTTTTATTTTCTAAGTGCTCTTCGTCACTGCATCCCATTCTGGCACTCTTCATTACCGTTTGCAGTTCCAAGTTTTCATTTGGTAGAAAAGTTTGCATTTCTTACAACCTGAGAACTTCCTTCAACATTTCTTATAATGTAGGTCTGATGGAGGCATATTACCTTTTTTTATTTGCCTGAAAATGTCATTAAATTACACTATTTTAAATTACTGGGTATATTTTGTTGAATTAAAATTCTGTGTTAAAAATTTTAAAACCATTTTTATTTCAGCACTTTAAATATTTTGTTCCATTGTCTTCTGGTTTGTACTGTTTCTGATGAAATGTCGGTAGTAATTCTTTTTTTATTTGGTTGTATTGAGATATTGGATTTATAGATTGACATTTTTCATCAAATTCAGGCAACTCTGGTCACTATTTTTGCAAGTATTTTTTTTCCCTCTTTCTCTCTACATCTTCTAAAACTCAAATTACCACTTGTTATTATGCTACAGGTGATTGAGTTCTGTTCATTTTTCCCCCATCTTTTTAATCCCTCTCCTCAGTGTGGTTAATTTCTATTCCTATATATTCAAGTTTTATGAGCTTTTCTTTTGCAGTGTGTAATCTGTTGGTAAGCCAATATAATTCTTTGGCTATTATATTTTTACTTTTAGAAATTCTACTTGTTTCTTTAATATATTTATTGTTGATTGTTTTAATACTTTTTCCATTTTCCATTTTTTTTACTTCAAGTTCATGTTTTCAGTCCTTAGACAATCCTGTAACTGTTTTAATGTACATGCATGCTAATACATAATCTTTATGATTTCTTGATCTGCTTCCTTTAAATTAGTTTTATCCTGATTATGCTTCTTTCCATGTTTAATAATTTTTTCATTAAATGTTGGACATTGTCTTGTTACTTTGTTTTGTGTGTTTTTCCACATTAAAAATTTTTTCAGATTGTTTATGGTAGTAAGGATAGTCTAGTCTAATACCAATTAATCATTCATTGTCAGAGCATCATGGGTGCATCTGCCTGGTTTTTTCTTCTTAAATATAAAAATTCTATAAGGTTTATATCAGAATAAATAGTTCCCACTGCCAAACTCTGCTCAAACAATTTTCATACTCTTCTATACATTTATTCAGTTACTAGCTAATAAGCTCCTAAGTATTCATACTCGTGTATTAATTATTCAATTTCTCATTTTTTGTAGACTTAATTTTATATAAGATCACATCTATCCCATGCATAATTTGGGGCTATATAAATAGCATTATAGTATTCATAAATTCAGTTACATCATAGTTTGACTAAAATGTTTAACATTATTATAAAGTAATTTTTCACAGATGAGCCATAAAGTGAATGATGACAACATTTCTTTTCTTGCACAAGTTTTGTTTTAACTGGATTTTGTATTTTTTATTGGCTTAATGTTTATGCTC